ATGAGTCCAACCCACCATATGAAATGTTAAACCCAAGCTCAACCCTAACCCTAGCATCAATCTTAACTATTAAACTCAAACCCAATCCATCATTCTATTTTTAAATTCGAGCTTGCAACTCGGACTTAGATTCTGGGTAAAAATTTTAGATTAATATGGGTTACTCATGTGGCTAATCCTTACACCGAAAATTTAATATGATCTTGAATTAGTTTTAGATTAAATTACTCTTAAACAAGAAAAAGTTTAAAGATTTTTTTTGTAGATTTTTAATAAATTACAAACAAATTTTTTGAAAATTAATTTTCCTAAATGTTAACATATAATAAGTTAAGATTTAATAAAAGAAGTTGAAAAGAAAAAAAAGTAATCATACTTTAAATATTATATACAATGTATTTAAAAGTAAATATATATATATATATATATATATATATATGAAAATAATATTAAAATTCGGGTTTGGGTTAACTCGGGTTGCTAGCACTTCAACCCAAGTCCAATCCTAATTAAATTCGGATTGAGATTTTTCAACCCAAGTCCAACCCTAATTGTAAAAATAATTGCCCAAGCCCGTAAAAAATCAGGCTGGGCTCGGGTTGGGTTCGGGTTACCAAACCCAAGTTGCACCCCTAGTTGATGGTTGAGGATAGAAGTTTCTGTTGAAAAGTAAACTTGATTTTAATATTTTGTATTTTTAAGTATTTGGTATGCACGATGCATGTATGCATTTACCATATTGGTGTTATAAGGTAATTGTCTTAAGTGGGAATTAATGTGATTGTGGAAGTTATGCAAACCAAGAGACATGAAAGTTACGAGACTAGTGATGGTCATGTTAGGGGGAGTTAGTAATGTAGTTAGACATTTAAATCTAATAATGGGTAAAATGCATTAAACCCCCCTAAACTATTGGGGTGTGTGCAAGAACCACCTTGAACTATAAAAGTTGCAAAAAACCCCTCTGAATTATTGGGGTATGTGCAAGAAACCCCCCTGAACTATAAAAGTTACACAAAACCCCCCATGAACTATTGGGGTATGTGCAAGAAACCCCCCTAAACTATATATTTTTTTGCAGTTTACCCCATCCGCGCGAATTGATTGACTGAAAGGGACGATGAAGCCGAGGAATTTGTTGTTGGGATCGGTGGGTCTCCTGTCATAGCTTTATTATAGCCGTTGCACCACCCGCCAGATCCGTCGGCCATATATATCGCACTTCTCTGCACCGTTGCGTCAGCCCATCGCCGTCACCGCTTTGCCCGCCGTTCAGCTCACCTTGCTCGTCGGTCCATTCCACCGTCCATTCCAAGCTCGCCAGCCCATTCCGCCATCTCCATAACTGAGCACACTGCCGTCCGTGTTTCGAGCACACAACCGTCCACAGTTCACTGCCGAGCCCCCTTGAGCTCGCTGCCGCTTCCACAGTTCACGGCCGAGTCAACCGAGCTCTCATCACGGCTGAGTCCTCTGCGCCCAAGCCGCCATCATCCGAGATCGAGCCATCACGTCGACCTCGGATTTCTTTGGTCTCTTCTCTCTCTCTCTCTAGCTCTCTGTTTTGGGTTGTATTGGGTGAAAAATATCTTTTGGCAGGAAAAAAAATATAAGAAGTGTATAAGTTAAAACGACACAGTGTGTTATAAGGGTTAACTGGTCTTTCAAAATTTTCGGTGCCGGAAGCTGATATCATGGGGGTAAATTGCAACAAAATCATAGTTCAGGGGGGTAAATTGCAAATGACCAATAGTTCAAGGGGGTAAATTGCAACAAAATCATAGTTCAGGGAGGTTTTTTGTAGTTCAGGGGGGTTTTCCTGCAAATGACCAATAGTTCAAGGGGGTTTAATGCACTTTACCCTATAATAATTACACATATGTTTGTGAGACCTATCTCTATATATATATTTATAATCGTGTACTCTAATAATTTTAGAAAGTAGAATAAAAGGAGATCTAAGTGAAATAAAATATTTCTTCCACCATTTCTCTTTCAAAGTTGCATTTGTTTGTAAAATCCACTTCTTTCTAAAAGGTTCAACCTTATGATGCTATTTATCACTCAACTCAACCCTGCTCTCTTTATCCATCTTTCTTCTCCTTTTTGCTCTTTTTCTTAATTGTTCAATCTTTCTTTCTTCTTTTTGTTTCTTCTTCTTCTTGGTTAATAATCAGAAGAACAAAAATAAGATCAAGGATGAACAGAACAAGAAAGCAACAGCAGACATGGCGTTGTGCAAGTTGGTGAATCCGAGATTAGTTTTGCTACGTGCTTCTCCCCTTTCTTTTGTTGAATTAATAGGATTCCGCTTTAATAATTTTTACACACACATATAGACATGTATGGAAACAATTTTTCGGTAAGCTATTTTTCCTCATCTTTCTAAGTTGTTGATTTAATATGATTCCATGAATAAAAATTATAACTTAATTGTTTAATGTTCGATTTTTATATGGTGAAAAGTTTGTTCCTTTGATGTCATGGACTATTACCAGTCTCGTGGGCCGTGGAAATTCTAGATAAGAGAGAGAGAAACAGGAGTCTGTGTGATGTGTGTGTGTGTCTAGAATGCATGAAAAAGAAAGTAGGAGGGCATCTCCATTCAATAAGAAATTCTGTATTGAGAATGATTTGTAAGGGAAGATCTGATGAAGAAGAAGTTAGTGTGTGTGTGTGTGTGTATTTAAGGAGAGTCCACTAATGAGATTTTTGGTATCTGAAATGGGAAATAGGAAATACTTTCTCTTTATTTTCTATTTTAAGATTGTATTTAAGGCTCTATTTTGAATGCTTTAAAATGAATGAATTTTGGTTTACTTATCTAAGGAGTACAAAAAGTTTGTCTAACTAGCTACTACAATAATGAAAAAGCATTATGCCAAAAACACCAAAAAAGAAATCCAAAAAAAAAAAAAAAAAAAAAAAAAAATTGCAATCCATATTTTTCATCTAAATTGAAATTATGAAATTGTCACACACAGCTAGTTTTCAAGTCACAATTTAATATCTGTGTTTGTGTGGCAGTTTCTCGTTTGGCATTAACATCTCTTGTTTACAACATTTGGGCAGAACGAAACCGTGGGGTATTCAAGAAGAAGAAGTTAACAGCAAACTCAATTCTATACAAAATACTTGAGTCAATTTGATTCAAATTGATGGCTGAACCTCCACTTGATTCCCCAATCAACAGACGCACGCATTGTATGCGGATGGGATATACCTTGGTCCATCCTCCGTTTCCCTCCAAGACCACCTGGCTAGGAATGAAATGGTGAAGCTCTCCGTTTCCATATCTGTTTGCTTCACCCAGTCGTTTCCATGGCTGTCTCACCGGATCTGAGAATAACTATCATGTATATGTACTCCAGAATGTATTAGTCATGGTTTGGTTATCTTTGTAAAATGGTTTAACATTCTGCCTCTATTTGATTGTTCTTGCTGGGTAATAGGGAAGGGTAGAATTATAAGTGATAATGACAGTGGTGCTTCCGTTGGCTTGTGATTAATTTCTTGGAGTGTTACCTAAGTATTCGTCTTTGTTGGACATGTATAGTTTTAGATATACATCAGCAAAAATAAATAAATTCTACTTATGAGAGTTACTTAAAAAAAAAAAAAAAAAAAAAAAGAACATCAACAACTTTTTTATAATATATTTTCCAGATTTGGGCTTTCAAATCAATTACATCCTACTGCATGAAACACTCTATAATCATGCACAATTAAAATTTTGTAGTTTGCATAGATTTATATAACATAAAACAAGAAAAAGGGAAGGGAAAAAATATTTAAATTGCTCTATGAGGCAACTCGAAGCGACACAAGGGGCACATGTGACTCCTTTTGAGCCACTCCAAAATGCAGACCGGATGGTATGTATGAGAACATGGCATGCGAGTCACTTCCGACCCAATAAACATATCATCTCTGCATATGACACACACTTTCCCTCTATCACTATTCTCTTCAAATTTGATTGTCTCCAATCCCTCGATAGATGGTGTACTTGCAGGCACTAATCTATCATATCCCAAGTACTCTCTCATAGTCTGATCCATCAATGACAAGAGCAAGTTTCTTTCATATCTTTGGTCTAAGCGAGCTTTCTTTGGTGCAGTGTTCCTCACTCTCATTGCTATTTCTTTCCATATGCCATCAAATTCCATACCAGGCCGCACCCTTACGATCCAGGAAACAAATTTGTGAAGTTCCAGCACACGTTTTTCCATCTCCTTTGCGCGGTCCATTGCTTGGATCTCCTGACTAGGCAAAATCACTATTTTCTCAATGTTGATGTTCAAAACTAGTATTTTTCGGCCATAGTTTGAGAATTTAGTGACTGTCCAACGAGCATCATCCATGACTGTACTGACAAGATCGTCGAGCTTGTCAAGCTCATGCACTGTTTCGCGGTCATGATATGGTCTGTATTGAAATCCCTCTAATGGGAATGGTACGTTCATTCCAGAAATCATTTCGGATATCATATCGGAGGTTAGGGTTTCGCTTGGAAACTGCTTTGAGATTTGTGCGATGAGGTCTCGTCTGGTGTTGGTTTTGAAGGATCCATCCGAAGAGATATATGTTTTTTCCACTTTAAAATCTAGAGACAGTTGAATAGAAGGCAGTGATTGATCATTCCTTCCGCTAATAAGACCTAGACTCTTAACCTGCAACTTTGTTGCATCCATTAGGGGATAACTAAGAGGGACAGGTGGTGTGTGATAATACTAGTTACTACTTAGTGGATCGAGAGAGAGAGAGAGGGTGATGACAGTAGCTAATTATAGAAGGAAGACTGATATTTAGTTCGCAGGTCATAGATCATATATATATATAGAAGGAACAGTATTTGAGTAGGAATAGGATAAAAGTGGATTTCGATTTGGATTTGGAAGCACTTGGGTACTAAACAGCATGCGTGTACTAAAGGCTTATGAAAGAATCCTAACTCTTTTAGGAGTGCGACTCTGATTTGGAAAGTTATAAAAAAATAAAAAAATAAAAAAATAATTATCAAATGGAAATCGAAGAAAATCCACCGACTTGACGAGTCCGTCGTCAACCGAATCGCCGCCGGTGAGGTCATCCAGCGGCCCGTCTCCGCCGTCAAAGAGCTCGTCGAGAACAGCCTCGACGCCCACTCCACCTCCATCAACGTCACCGTCAAGGACGGTGGCCTCAAACTCATCCAAGTCTCCGACGACGGCCACGGAATGCGAGTAACCCCTTACTCTCTCATCTTCTCCCAATTCACTACACTAGATACATATATACATATAGAGAGATTGATTCTGGAATTTATTGTCGTAGTGATTATTGTTGTTGGTTTTGATTAGTATGAGGATTTACCGATACTCTGCGAGAGGCATACGACTTCCAAGTTGTCTACATTTGAAGATTTACAGTCGATTAAGTCGATGGGGTTCAGAGGAGAGGCGTTGGCCAGCATGACCTATGTTGGTCATGTTACCGTCACTACCATTACCAAAGGCCAATTGCATGGTTATAGGTATGAATTGTGGGCCCCGCCTGTTCGATTGAAGATTCACATAAAGCTGTTTTTACTCTTATAACTTTGGTTGTGATGTACAAATATAACTGTGGATGAAGGTTACATATATTACGTACAAGTTACAATTCTCCCAAGAAAGGGGAAAAAGAAATATTGGATGTGACTTTGTGTATCTATATTTTTAGGGATCTGTTGTGTCATTTATCTTGCATTTGGCTTCAATTCTGTTTTATGGAAATTGTAATTTTTTTTTCTTTCTTTTTGTTGTTTGTGTGCTTTTTGTTTTAGGCCTTTCTTTGCATATGATTTTGCCACATGCATTGTCTCTGGCATGCATATTTATATATTTCTGAAAGTGGAAATGTGTTGTTCAGGGTATCATACAGAGATGGTGTGATGGAGCATGAACCAAAAGCATGTGCTGCTGTAAAGGGAACTCAGATAATGGTATGGACTGGATCTTTTGCCTTTCTCAACAAATATGAGAAAATCATTGCATTAGAATAATTGTGGATGGGTTAGGAAAATGTGAAAAACAATTGTAGGGGATTAAGTACTGAAGTTTGAGACTCAGAAAACCGACGACGCCCAATAAATTTAACAATAAGGAAAGAGAAAAACAAAGCTGCGGAGAAAGGAAACTAATATGTTATGATCGTAGAATTATTTGGAGTAGTTCATGACTTCCCCCAAAAATATGAGAATTATAAATATTTTTGGGAAATTCATTGGTCATTGTGTTATTTGAATTGTAGGATACACTGTAAGTTTTATGAGACAAGTATAATTTACAAAATTTTTTTGCTCTAATCTATTTGTCTTGGATGTTGTCATTTTTTATCAGATTGAGAATTTGTTTTATAACATGACTGCTCGGAGAAAAATACTTCAGAACTCTGCTGATGATTATCCTAAAATTGTAGATACCCTTAGCAGGTTTGCCATTCATCACATAAATGCTAGCTTCTCCTGTAGAAAGGTTTGTCTTTTCACCATTTATGCTCGTCTTTATCATGTTGTAAACTTTTCTTTCTCTCCTAACTTCTTTAACCTGATGAGAAATATTTCTTCATATTACTCTTCCATTGTATGCAGCATGGAGCTGCTAGAGCAGATGTTCACTCAGTCGCCACGTCCTCAAGGCTTGGTGCGATCAGATCTGTTTATGGGGTGTCAGTTGCTCGCAATCTGATGAAAATAGAAGTTTGTGATGATGATCCATCTACTTCAGTATTTGAAATGGATGGTTTCATCTCCAATTCTAATTATGCTGCGAAGAAGATAACAATGGTACTTTTTATCAATGGTATGTATCAGCAATATTATACTGGGATAAGATTTTTAATTTTGTGGTCTGTTTTTTCCCCCTAAATGGAATTGTATTAAAAAGAAAACAAAAAAGTACAGGAGGAGAAGTGAGGGCCTACCCTCACATTACAAAACTCCATTTCCAGTAAACATAGAACAAGAAAATAAGAGAAGACATCAAAATAAAAAGCATTACATCCCATGCCAATCAGAAATCGAAATTCCTGCAATATAAAAAAATCCCAAATTACCTTTGTTGCCGCAGCTGAAGCAAAAGATATTGATCTCTGATGAAGTGCCAAGTTCCTAGCCTTCCAAATGCCCCAAACTGCACTAGTGAACACCATTCTACAAATATGATTCTTCTGAGATTTATCTTTGAAAAGCATTGACTCCCCACTGAATCAACTGACCAAAGGTGGAGCTGGAGGGATAGACCCTCCAATACAAGCCACAATACACTGTCATACTTCTTGGGCAAAAATGCATTGCCAAAAAAACTCTATAACTCTCATGAATGAATAATATGTTTTGTTTGTTTGTTTTGTAAATATAACTCTATAACTCTCATGAATGGATATGTGGTCATAATCAAACCAATGTGCTGAATATTTAATTACCACACCATCCTTTTATAACATATTCAATCATTCTGTTATTTTATTTTATTTATTTATTATTTTTCTTTTTACCAAGTACATTGCCAACCCCTGGAGAAATGAAATCCTGGCTCCGTCTCTATGGGTCACATCTCGTTCTCCATCAAGACTAGTAATGCTCAGAGTGTAAAATTTTAGGGAATTTGGAAGATGTTCATAAGTTGTCTTATCAAAAAGGGAACATGTTAATAAGATTGGTGTAAATGAAATGTGGGTGTTGAGATGGACGTGTAGCAAGATAACAAATGTTTCGGATACAATCACAGAAAGTTAGAAGTAGAACCAATTGATGGTGAAGTGAAAGCAATTGGCCTAGAATCAAGATGGTTTTGCCATGCATTATTGCAACCAATGAGGGCACTATGAAGCAAGAGTGAAATGTCCATGCCATAAATGTGTTTCTAGGATAAGGACATGGTGGCTCAGAGCAACTGAAACGTTGGAGCTGGATAGAATGGAATGCTGAAGCATAAGTCATATGGTTAACCCCAAATGTTTGGAAGAAGACTTTAGTTCTAAGTGGAACAGGACCAATTATCTATAACTTGAGCCTAGTTCGAGTTTGTTGTGGGCTTGGACTAATATTTATATACTTGGTTTGGGCTTGGGCTGAGGCTACAAAACCTTGACTGACGTGCTTGAAGCTTATTATTTTAAATTATCTGTGTGAACATGTGAAGGTTTTATGCATGTAAAATAAGAATAATTTTATTGCTTATGCATTTGTGTAGACAATGTGTTACCGAGGGGTACTACTTGGTAGAGGTCGCCTAGATTGCTTAACTTCATCGAGTATACCTTGAAATGAAATGCCAACTAACTGTATTTGAAAAAAGAACCAGTAATATTCTCTGCTGTTCTTTTTATTATTGATTGTTTTGTACTGGAATTTTTTATCTATTTAAGTTCGAGTGTTAATTAGAACATTGTATGTGGATATGCAGGTAAGTCTTTTGAATCAGGAAGTTATTATTGAAAAGATACAGTCTGCCGTTGAATCAAAATTGAGAAACTCCAATGATGCAAGGACATTTCAGGAACAGGTAATTTGCAAACTTGGTGTATGAGCTCAAGTAGATACTTTTCAGCATTTGATAAGAAATTTTTTGGTTCTTTAAACTCAATAAACAGTTTGATTACTGCCCCTTGTATTACCTTAATGAGCTTTATGTAGGAGGGTATAATAACAGAGAGAGGGCACAAGTCATTCATGTTTCCTTCCATAGGACATGCTAGATTTTCTGGTGTTCCAAGTTTTGGTTTCTACGTTCTATATCTCTTTTTGTACCTAAATGTTCCATACTCTAGTTTACAATGATCTTATTACAAAATGCTGTATGATGGTGCAAAAGCACCAAAATAACCTACGCTATAAATTACTGAAAACTAGATTTATTCCTACCAACCAATATGACCCCTCTTATGTCGCTCGATGGGCTAACATTCCATAACTGCACTTGATCATGGAATGCAGATACCAAGTCATTTTTTTTTTTTCTTAAGTAATGAATAAATAAAAAGGCGTTCAAAAGGGGAACGCATCCCTTATACAAAAGTGGAACCGGGGACTAAGGCCCTAAAAAATTTAAAAAAACTAATTAAATCATTGGAAGAGGAGCAAGAACTCCTCTTCACATAATTGAAAAGAGAGCAAATAATGAAAAGTTTCAGCGTCGCCGTAGACGACTCCTTCCCTTCGAACATTCTACTATTTCTCTCCTTCCAGATGCACCACCAAACTCAATGTGGGACAATTCTCCAGTAATCGCGTACATCTCTTCTAACATGACATTCTCTCCGAGCATGAATCAAATCCTTAGAAGAACGTGGCATTACCCAACGCATGCCAAACAGCCCAAGAATAAGATTCCAACAGTCGTGCGCCACGGGGCACAGTGCATGAGGATATGATCAACTGACTCACCATCTTGCTTACATAGGCAACACTAATTAACAAAACAATTCCCCCTCTTCCTCAAATTATCAATCGTTAGTATCTTACCCCATACAGTGGTCCAAACAAAGAATGCCACGCTAGTTGGAGCCATAGAACGCCAAATGGTCTTCCACGAAAAGTCAAGGCTATCAAAATTAGAAAGACATAAGAACAAAGATCACACTTCGAAACGACCATGGGAAGAGGGAATCCATGTCAGTTCGTCCCTACCTCTGCCAACTCCTTTATGCCGATACAACTGATCCAGAAGAACACATACCTCGTCCAACTCCTAATCCTGAAAGGAACGCCGAAAGTGCACGTCCCACGTAATCCCACTATTATCACGCCGATAATAGTCAGCTACGTAGGCGTGTCTATCAACTGCAATACTGTATAGTTTGGGAAATGTACGAGATAATGGCTGGCCACCACACTAAAGATCTTCTCGGAAATGAACATATCTACTGTCACGAACTTTGAATCTGATATGAGAAGAGAAGACATCCCATCCCTTCCGAATGAATTTCCACACCTCGACTCCTCCCACAAGAGAAACCGGACGGGTAGACAAACCGCCAAACTCTTTCCCAAACCGACATGAGACTAGCCTTCGCTAAGGATGATGTCTTTCCCTCCCATATCTCCACAACCATTTGCCCAGGAGAGCTTGGTTAAAAGGAACCAATCTTCTGATGCCAAGACCATCCAACTTCATAAGCTTGCAAACTTGCTCCCATTTGACAAGGTGATAACTCTTCTCCCCTTCCACCCTAAAGGAAATCCTTTTGAATTTTTTCAATCCTATCAACAATGCAGCACGGGATTTGGAACATAGATAAAAAAAATTTATGGGAAGGCTCGATAAAGTGCTCTTTACAAGAGTAACTTTACCCCTCTTAGACAAGTATTGCTTCTTCCAACCTGCCAATCTCTTCGCATACCTGTCAATCATAGGATCCCAACTCCCCGCTCTCCTAGAAGAAACCCCTAGGGGCAAACCCAAATAACTAATGGGAAAAGAACTCACCTTACACCCAAGGACTGCAGCTAAAGAAGAAATATCCTGAACATTCCCTACCGGGATAAGCACGCTCTTAGCTACGTTGACCTTCAGCCCGAAAACTGCCTAAAAACAATCCAGGATACACCTCAAATATCTAAGTTGAGACACATCAACATCACAGAAAACCAGGGTATCGTTCGCAATAAGTAAATGAGAAATCTCCACCTGATGGACTAAATATCTTCCCACCCTAAAGCCCTTAATAAGACTAAGATCCTCTGCCCTTCGCATGAGTCTGCTTAAGCCCTCCATAACAATTAGAAAAAGGACAGACGACAAAGGGTCTCCTTGTCTTAAACCCCGAGTACACCCAAAAAAACCAGCGGGAGATCTGTTCACAAGAACTGAGAACTTGACAGACGAAAGACATGTCTCAATTCATTTCCTCCATCTACTTCCAAACCCCATTCTTTGTAACAAATATAGTAGGAAATTCCAATTCACATCATCATACGCTTTCTCAATATCAAGTTTGCATAAAACTCCAAGAACACCACTTCGCAATCTGGAATCCACACATTCGCCTGCAATAAAAACTGAATCTAGAATTTGCCGTCCTCCAACAAAAGCATTCTGGGAATCCGAGATAATCCCATCCATTATTTCCCTCATCCTTAGAACAACCACCTTAGCCCCGAGTTTGTAAATACAACCCACTAAGCTAATTGGTCTAAAATCCGTAATGTCAGAAGCGCCTCCCTTCTTAGGGATAAGGGCAATGAATGAGGCATTTAGCGACTTTTCAAGTCATTCTACTGATACCATGTCATTATTTGAACCCAACATCGCAAAGTAACCTAATACCATCTCAATAGATAGGTTAAGCTTTGACGTTTATATATCTAAATAGTAGCAATGTAATTGCAAACGTGGGACACATATAACGTAGCTAAGGTGTGGAAACAGTAGTTTTTGTTTTTGTTGTTGTTGTTGTTTTTTTTTTTTTTTCTTTTTTTTCTTTTCTTTAAAATAGAAAATAGTTGCAAGTTCTTCTGACCTGCATTATCTGTTGAGTTCCTTTCTCTCTTTCTCTACTTCTGTCTATCTATCTTTATCATTCTCTAAATTAAGAATTCGTACTTCCTGTGCTGGTGCTGTTTCTGCTTTGCTCTGCATTTTGGGGAAATACGTACTTCCAAAACGTTTCCCTTATTTTGGACATCTTTGGTTTCATGTATGAGGCAGAGCCTTGATCCCTCTCCATCCAGTCTTGTGCCTACAACTATTAGTCCACCTTCTGGTATGCATAATTTTTTCTTTTTTATTTCTGTTGGCTGGACTAAACTCTTGGCATGTCTAATAAGTATATCTATTTGTTCCATATTGTTGCCTCGTCCTTTACAGGTTCAAAATTGCAAAAGGTTCCAGTGAATAAGATGGTACGGACTGATTCACTGGATCCTGCTGGAAGGTTACATGCCTACTTGCAAGCTAAGGCTCCTGGTCAACTTGAAAGAAACTGTAGCTTGACCTCTGTGAGATACGTTCTATATGTTCATCCATATAACTTCAATTACTCAGACAGACACTTCTATACGCTGTTACAGATGGGTGTGAAAATTGCATAAGCATTGAAAGTTAGCAAACCATGTGGAGCAAAATGAGTCACTGTTTAGTCAGTATTTCTCTATGTGGAGTATAAATAAGGATCGTTATTATATTTACTCGTTATTATGTTTATTTCGGGATTAGACCTACTAAAATCAAGGTATCAACAATGGAATGCACAAATCCAGTTTAACACAGATGAGAGCCGTGACACCCAAGGTCCACTAGCTTCATGATCCTCCGCAACTCCTTGATCCATGATCATTATGGTTCTGTGACCCTTAATTGTTTGACTTCTGACATTATGATTTCATAATTGAAACCTCCTACTGCAGTGATGTTGTTGTGATCATTAATTCAATTGCACACAAATACCATAAATATACACCAGATAGTGCAGGCTCGAGACTGGTTGATCATAATAGAGTGACACTACCCGGAGATATAATGAGCAAAACCCATGATATCATAATGATATATTCCTCTTTGTTATAGCAGAAGATGAAGGAGATAATGTTTTATTATCTAATCAAGTTCATTATTAAAATTCTCTGCAATTGAGTTTTAGAAGTTGAGTAATTGGAAGATGTAGCCAACTTCTAAAAAGTTCTATCAAGTTTTTGGGTGGATATCTGGAGGATAGTTTGGTTGGTTATAGGCTGAAGGTTCATTTGGTAGGGAAACGTGCAAGTTTTAAAAACTTTCTGAGGGATTTTCATACATAAATCTTAATTCATTTTATATATTTAAGTTTTATGCAAAACTAAAATATGATGTATCATTCAATTAATAGATTGAATACTTACATCAAGGTTTGAGTAAAGTTAGATCTCTCCTCTAAAGTGAATGTTTTCACTTATTGTAGATCCCTTTGCTACATGCATTTTCTATGAATCTCCATCTTCTTGGTAATGGTCTTGCCTTTAGAAATCACTCATAAGCTTTCATGAATGACCTTGGAAAATAGGCTTGTGGGAGCATCTATTAGATGAGAATACAAACCCTAAAAATATAGAGAGAGAAAATATATTTTTTCTTTTCTTCTCAAAAGTGACCCCTAAAATATACATGAACCTATGTATATATAGGCAACATAAAAATAAGAAAAGGAAATAATAAATCCTTCTCAATCTCTAATTCACAAAACTAAAATCTAATAGGATTCCAATATAAAGTTGGGCTATGAGTGAGAACTCTATTGGGCTTATTATTTTCTCGACTACAATGAATTAATAATTGACTCGGTCCATGGACCCAATTCAATTAATTTCTACTCCACTAAAAGAAATTAATTGAACTCTAATTAAATAATAAATAACCTCTAAGTCAATGTTGCACTTTGACCCCTCTATGCATAATTAGTTATCGGATAAATAAAGTCATCAATCCGACTACTTAATTAATATATTTATTTTGGTATATTTGATTATTTCTGGCTTGATCACAATAAAACATTTGTTTGACAAAAATAATAATTTAAATAAATAAATATATAATAAATCATTTTGTCTAAAAACACACGAAGGCCTTCGAATTTACTTTGTGATCAACCATAATCAATACAAAATAAATACAAGTAGCAATGATGCAAATATTGAAAATATATTCCTCTAACTATTAATTACATAATTACCCAAAGTGCTGGTATAAGGATTCCGAAGATTCCGCCGAACAAATCACAGTAACAACTAATTAATAAAAGAGTTTATACTTCTCTCATGCTTAAGAGTCAAATGCCATGACGGTGATAGGGAGCAATTGCATACGACGGCTCTCGCAATATTTCTCAACCTAACGCGGATCTAGTTTAAGTCTTAGTTAATAATGAGTCTATCTATAATTACCGATTATGAACAATTTATGATTACTATTTATATTCATGTATTGATCGCCATCACATATATATATAAATATCTCTTGTAATCAAATGGATACTATCAATTCCATAATGAATCGAAATATAATACATTAAATTAACTAATTATATAAATCATAAATATTTCAGATATGTCAGGAACATATGTCACTATAATTCAAATAAGAATTTGCTATACCAGGACATATAAATCCCAACAGCTCCCACTTGCCCTCATAGCCAATTCGAATTGCATCTAACTTCAATGTTATCCAGGCGATGATCAAAACTATTGATCGATGACACCTTTATTAATGGATTAACAAAGTTATGTTCCAATGTAATATTCTTGCCACGAGTACATTTTCTTGCCAGATAATATTATGTAGGACATGATACTTTCTCTCAGTGTACCTTGTTCCTCTATGGAACCTTGGGTCATAGGTTTAAACTACTTCTGCACTATTGTCGCAATATAGCTCGATAGACAGGCTAGTATGCTCCACAACCTCTAAATCAGTGAGATCAAACCAAAAGGCTTTCTTTGCTGCCTTTAAGGCTGCAATGTACTCCACCTTCAGGTTTGAGTTAGCAATTGAAAATTACTTAACAATCTACCAACTAATTTCTCTTCCATTGAGAGAACATACACTAAGTTATGAACCTCATAGTATCTATATTTGATTAAAAATCAGAATCAGCATACCGGACTAGAACCATATCATCACATCCATAAATGAGTATGAGATCTTTGGTTCTCCTAAGGTATTTTATGATATTTTTCACAACAGACCAATTATCAAGTCTAGGATTGGATTGATATCTATTGACTATCCCTACTTTGTAGCGGATGTCCTATTTGGTATAGACCATGACATATATGAGAATTCCACATGCCGAAGCATATTATTACAGTCTCATTTGCTCAATCTCCTTTGCTAGTCTTAAACAACTACTTACTAGAGAGCAATCCATGTCAATAAAATAAGAACTCATTTTTTGAGTTTTGCATACCAAACCTGGTCAAAACTTTATAAATATAGGATTATTAAGATAAGCCTATTTTCCTTTTAACCTGATCTTGCAAAAGCTTGATCCTAGGAATATAACTTACATCTTGAAGATCCTTCATTTCAGAGTAATTAAATAACTACTTCTTTACTGATGACGAAACTTCCACATCATTCTAAATGAGTAGGATGTCATCAATATATTTAAAGAATTAGAAAAATAATGACATTACCCTGTACACACATGGTTCATTCACTAAGAAATCTTCTGATATCCTTTTGTAAATTAACTTACCTTCCATAGGTATCACCCTACTAGAAAGTTCTACAAGATCCCAGATTTTATTAGAATACATTGATTCCAACTCTGATTTTATAGCAACTTGCCAAAATGATCTATATCCATATCAGTTCACGCTTCCACGTAGCTTACTGGGTCCAACTCATGTTTAACAGGGATGTCCATAAAGGTCTCACCTAAAAACATGATTCTGTCGGATTAGATGATAATCCTTCCACTACATCAATGTACCGATGCAGGAATCTGTATACTAAATGATGCCGACACATCAATAGGGAATTCATATATAATTCTTAATTTCTATAATAAGTGTGTTCATATGTGGTACAACTAGTACTAATACCATATTCTCTAACATTATGCTACTAGGTATATGATTCATAATATGATCCTCCTATAGATAAACAGTGAGTGTAAACAATCAACTTTTATCATTGAGATCATAAAATAATCCATCCTAGTGCCTTTAGAGTAGCCATCAAATCAAGCATGCCTATGATCTGCTTCCAACTTACTTGTCCATATCAAATGCACATGTGCAAGACTACGCCATATGTGTATGTGATTCAAACTAAGATTTAGTAAAAAACACAGCTCAAAAGATATCCTTGAGACAGACTAAGATGGAATTCAATTCGTAATGTGCATCAATATTGTTAAGGCTAAACTTTAAAATGAAAAAGATAATGAAGCATAGCTGATCATAGATCTAACCATGTTAAGCAGAATTTTGTTATTCCTATTAGACACCTCAATTTATTGAGCGTCAATTGCGGAAAAACTGGTACACAACACCCTCATTGACCACATAGTCTTTGCACTATCCCAAGAAATACTCATATCCACGATAAGATCGAAGTCTTTTGATAAGTTTCCCTAATCTGTGCTCCACATCAGTCTTAACACTTCCGGAATATACCAAACGTGTAAGACTTGTGTCGCGTCAGGTAGATTTATCCAAAACGTGAGTAATCTTACTTGGATGTTCATAAGACCACACGTGTCAGTGTGTACCGACTTCAATTGTTCTCCATGTCTATTTCATTTGGCTGATTAAAACCCTTAGAGTTATCAATTATTCAATACAAGATTCACAAGTTGGTTTAGGCTCCCCTGCCTCACTAGGTAATAAACCTTCTTTGACTAATCTTTGAATCTCATTTTGACTGATCACAACCCAAAAATAGACACTAAAAATACAATGAGTCAAGAATAACAAATTTTCTCTTAACATTCAATCTAGAAGATGCAACATTAGTTTTTATATCCTGCAAATATTAAGAGCTGGTGGTTATAGTATATTAACCATCTTTCAATGCACCAGAAGTAATTACACATCTCTTCAATTTTATAAAACCAGTTTTACCAAAAGTAACAGCACAGTTTTTATAAACCACAAGTGAAACAAGAATGAGATTGCGTCTAACATCTGTGCATAAAGATAGTTCTCTAATACTAATATCCTTATACTTTCTAATTTCAGATGTAATACTCCCACTGACTTAGCTACAACTTTAGCATCAGGTCAAAAGACAAATAAATATCCATATCATCGAGGCTTCTGGATTTCTGAAATCCTTGCAACGAATTGCAAACATGTTTAGTGGCTCTAGAATCTATCCATCAGGAACTAATAGATACAACCACATAACATGACTCAATGATTAAATATACATTTTCCTATGCCACGTCATTGCTTAAACAGTTCATCTTTTAGTGTCTTAATTAGCTGCAAAAGAAACAGTTTATTTCGTCCTCAACATACACTGCCTTATTCCCTTTAACCTTTTGGATACCCATGTTTTGTGCTAACCTAGTCCTATTATCATCCTTCTTCTTTCCTTTGCCCATCCACTTAGGCCTAGAAGAAGATAGTATAGACTAGGTTAGATTGGTAAGAATGCCCATACTTTTGATTATCCCTTCATATGTTACCAATTCTATAAGAATATCAGCGAGTGTGAACTCAAACTGATTCCTTATTTAGTTCACTCTAAAAGAGTTGAACGAGTTTTGGTAACAAGGCAATAATTATGTCAACTTGAAACTTACCACTCAAGTTAGCCCTATTGACCTCTAGTTCAATTTTTAAAAATAATAAACAATCATTTTCCAAATTCGATCTTTTACTGGAGATCCTTAGGCTATCTTGAT